TGATTATACTACGAATGTTGTGCGGTTTTTATGCGAATTTTGTTTCGAATAATTGTATAGGCGACGTTTGTATTTCGACTAATTGTCGCAGGTTCATTAGCCTAAACTATGTGTTATGCGTTTATTGTGCGTAATATTTTCGACTAATAGTCTCAGGTTCATTTCGCCTAAAAAAGAATTTTCAAAAAATTAAATTCTAAAAAAAATTTATTATGCAACCAATAGGCGAATAATACGCGACGTTTTTATTTCGCAGAATAGAAAATTTCCAATAATAGTTTCCTTTTCTTATTATGCACCAACTAGGCGAATAATATGCGAAGATTGTATAAAAGATCGAATTGAAATCCCTACACTACAACTTTTACAGTAGCTTCGACCCCAGTCGATTACAAAGTTAAAAAAAAATCGAAGAACCAGCCAAGCCTAAAAAAAAGCTAGGACGAGGGAGCCGACGAGCTACCAGCCTACCACAACACTCAGACGCCAGGAAGATGAGCTGTAGGTGGAGCTTGTTTGTGGAGTTCCATGTAGAACTCCAGCATGAGATCGGCCCCGACCACCACGCTCTGAACCGATGGGCTCTGCCGGGTTCCGAGAAGAGATCCCCGTCGACCAATTCTAGTATACCTCGGAAGTCCAAGCACTCGCCCGGGGCCAACTTAATAAAGTTGGATACCAGAATTTATGCTCGTTCAATTTTTTCCTCACGGGTCGAAAGAAAGATTTTTTGTAACTCTGGTTTATCTCCGGCGAACTGCTTCTCATATACAAGAAACGGGAAAAACGGAGGGCATTATATGGATCGAAGATTACACGCTTTATATAGACGGATGAAACGATTCGCGTGCACGCTTTTACTACCCAGGCGTTTTGAAAAGCGGATAAGACGCCTCGAAATCGGCCGTAACGTTCCAACTGCCAGCGGTTTCTAAACCATTCAAAAATTTAAATTTTAAATAAACTTTCGAGTAGAAGCGCGAAGGGGGTATGCGAGCAATATGCGGAATTCGCATACCCCATCGCATAACAGAAATAACAGAAAGATGAAAGAAATAAAAAATAAACTTTCGAGTAGAAGTGCGAAGGTGGTATGCGAGTAATATGCGGTAATTCGCATACCCCATCGCATAACTGAACTAACTGAAAGATGAAAGAAATAAAAAAATAAATAAAAAATACACTTTCGAGTAGAAGTGCGAAGGGGGTATGCGAGCAATATGCGGTAATTCCATACCTCATCGCATAACTGGAATAACAGAAAGATGAAAGAAATAAATAATAAACTGTCGAGTAGAAGTGCGAAGGTGGTATGCGAGTAATATGCGGCTATTCGCATACCCCATCGCATAACTGAAATAACTGAAAGATGAAAAAAATAAAAAAATAAATAAAAAATACACTTTCGAGTAGAAGTGCGAAGGCGGTATGCGAGCAATATGCGGTAATTCGCATACTGCCTCGCATAACTGAAAGATGAAAGAAATACGAAAAAAACTTATTATGCACTAATTCCGCGAATAATATGCGACGTTGGCATGTCGTAGTTGTGTCGAAGAATAATTTTTCGACTAATAGTCGCAGTTCATTCGCCTAACAAAAATAATTATTTAATGGGCGATGGACCGCGATTGACCGAATCGTACATCGAATCTCCGAATATTCATCGTAGAACAGTCGTATAATTTAACTCATAATTTTCTCGCCCATGCTCATACCTGTCGCCTATTTTGCGCATGTTTCATCGCATATGTCTTCGTACTTTTTGGGGGTGAAAAACTTAGCTTTTTATTGGGTGGTGTGAAAAACTTAGTGTGACTTCAGAACGGGGTGAAAATAGCTATTTCCTCTAAAAACAAATATCCTGAACAGCTCGTCAGCTCACTCCTCGTCCCCGACTCCGTGACCTGAAAAACATGAAATACGTGGGGGCGTGAGCACTAAAACACTGTGCTCCGCAGAAACTCAAACTAAAGTAAAACAGTGAATATAATACCAATATCATGATCCTGGCATATATAACTGAACTGAAACTGAAACTGATATCTGATACCGATACTGAATA